GGCTAAGAGTTTCTCAAGTCTCTCTTCCACATACTTCCACTCAGCGATATTTAAGCGCCGATAGTGTATGGGAATACCCAGATATCGAATCGGAAACTGCCCGAGCTGGCATCCAAAAATCTCAGCGTACTTAGGTGCTGATTCTGCAGCATCGCCAAAGCAAAAAAGTTCGCTCTTATGAAAATTAATTTTGAGACCAGAAAGTTCCTCAAAAGCACATAAGAGCAACTTGAGATTTCTTTTCGTATCTAGATCATGATCCATGAATAGAATAGTGTCATCCACATATTGTAAAATAGATAGGTCATCTTCTACCAAGTGTGGAATGACACCACTAATTTGACCGTCCAGCTTAGCCCGCTCAACAAGGGTAGCTAGCATGTCGGCCACAATGTTAAACAAAATAGGAGAAGCGGGGCCCCCTTGGCGAAGCCCCTTTCTTGTTTCAAAATAGTTGCCAACGTCATCATTAACTTTTATGGCCACACTGCCTCCAGAGACAAAGCTATCTACCCAACAACACCATTTTTGTGAAAACCCCTTCATGCGCAAAGTTTGCAACAGAAAGGGCCACTTAACCTTATCGTAGGCTTTTTCAAAATCTATTTTAAGAATGACACCATTCAACTTTTTTTGGTGAAGCTCATGTACAGTTTCGTGCAAGACGACCACTCCATCTAATATGTTGCGGCCTTGCATAAATGCTGTTTGAGTGGGTTTTACGACATGGTCAGCCACCCCGTTCAACCGATTAGTTGCGACCTTCGTAAAGATTTTAAAACTTACATTCAAAAGGCAAATCGGACGATATTGTTGAATACGACTAGCCTCCTTAATCTTAGGCAATAGGATAATTTCCCCAAAGTTTAAGCGAGAAATGTCAAGGTCTTCAGTATGCAGTTGGTTAAACAACTGAACCAAGTCTGCCTTAATGACGTCCCAAAAACATTGATAGAACTCTGCGGGAAACCCATCGCGCATCAAAGCCTGGTTCTCTGGGGTCGACTGGAACTCTTCGCCCCGCACTGAGCTGACGTCTGTCATCTTGCTGCCGAGGAGCGTAAGACCCACCCCTCAGAGGGGAATTGGGCACTCGACGCCTATCATCTCGGTCGAGTCAGTCACCATATTGGTCTCGCCGATTCTCGCGCCCTTCACGCCGCGGAGGCGATCTGGGGCTGTGAGCCGACTGAACCGTATTCGCAGCGACAGATCGACTGTGAATTCTGTTGCGCGACTGCGACACGACCGAATTCTGATCTCCTGCTGCCCGGAGCAAATCCCTGATCTGCATCAAGCCTCTGCCAGCTTCCGACTGAGAGGGCTGGATGGACTCTGCTATACGGGTCGCAGCTGCTAAATTCTGGATTGGGGTTCGATATACCTAAGTCGGCGGGAAGAGTTGACGTCGACTGGTGTCGGGAACTCGTTGCCGCGCGCGCTCGTCGAGTGCTCGCTGAAGATTCTCCAGTCGAGTGCATTCGGCCAAATTGGCTAAACGAGCCTCCTCCAAGGCGTGAGCCTCGGGGGTTTCTCCTGCGATGGGAGTACGCAGGACATCCACGTTCCTGCGGCGAAGTTCCTCTCTTTGCAGAGAGTCGAGTGGCTCGGGCTGGTACTCTTCGTGGTCTCGTGCGGGGTTGCCTCCGTCGCCTGCCCCACCATCACGGGCGAAGCCAGGGGGACTGCGGAGCCCGTCGACCATCAGGATTTCCGCCGCTGGATCACTGCTATCGCACTCGGATGCAGTCTCTACGGAGCCAGTCGACAGATCGAACAGGCCGTGAGAGATTCGTCGGGCTCGATTGCCGCAACTTGGGTGGTGGCCGTCTGGCGAGCCACCGCGTGCCTCACCCACCGCTGAAGCCTCGACCGGCCCGAGCGCTTGCGCTGGCGGGAGACCGGGAGGGTGGTCGATGGGGGAGTCGACCGATACGGAGTCGACGGTTGCCGCAGCAGAACGTCACGGACACATGCGCGAAAATGCGTCGCACCGCGGACGGGGAGCGCATCGACGTCGAGTGGAGCCTCCTGGAGCCAGGCGGAGTCGTCGGCGACGAAGGTGAGAGCACCGAGACGGATCTCTCGACCCTCAACCAAAACTCCAGCAGTCATCATGATAAAAGTACTCGGAAGAACCGCAACTTCTCCACAAAATCGCTAAAACACCTGCCCCACGGTGGGCGCCAACTGTTGTGGTTCTAAGTCTGACAGTAGAGTGGGGGGTAGGTATGGAGAGGCAAGGTCCTAGCTATGGAGAGGTTGTAACACAAGAGATGTACGAGTTCAGGCTCTTCTCGGAGGAAGTAAAAGCCCTACGTCTCGGAGCCCGGAGGCGGTCGAGTGGATTATGTGTATATGAATTACAGGCTTATATAGAGTGCGCCAGGACCCCAGCCAGCCCACGTAATGAAGGGTTTAAGGTGTATTTAGTCCGGGGCGTTACTGGTAACGTCCCACATAAAGTGTCTTAACTATCATAAAGTCTACTTAACTACAGGCCGTTGCAGTGCAGAGTGCCTTTTGACCTCCTGGTAGTCGAGTGAGTCTTCGTGGTCGAGTCCTTCAAGTCAGTCGAGTGAGTCCCTCGTTGGTCGACTGGAAGGTGACCTCTTCTAAGGGTGTCCTTGGGCAGGGTACTTAGATCAGGTCTGTGACCCTACCCTAGGTACATGACTCCATCAGCGTCGCCCGCCTTGATGCGGGACCGTGGGAAGGCTGGCTTTCTCGGGACGAGACCTCGAGCCACGCCGCAACTTTCTACAAGGAAATCACCAAGAGGAGAAGATCCGCCCGAGAAGCCAGCCTTCCTTCGGTGGCCAGAGCAGGAGCAGCGATGGGGGCAGCGGTGGCGGCCGTGGCGGCAGCAACCCTCGATGAGGAGTGGGGAGAGGAGGTTGCGTGTGGGAAAAACAAAGGAAAGATATTTTTTGGATAGGAGGCCTGATCCTACGACACGATTGGCCAGGCACGGCACGAAGATTGGACAGAACAGTGCGGCTCGATGACGTGGCTAACCCGAGCGTTGGCCCTTTGCGCCACTCTTATTGTTTTTGATTGTCGAATACGTATAGATCCCAGTTTAGAGGAGGCCCACTGTTAGGAGAGGTAGATTGCCCACCAAAAATGCTACATCGACGAAAAATGGCAATGCTACACACACGGGCGGATGACTACGGAATCAACGGAACCTGATTAGCTGGCATGGTTTAATTGGAGATTAAGGGGGAAACGGGGTCGTCCCATGCAAATCAGAGGGGGCGAAAGTTAATTAGTGTGAAATATTCGCCCGTGATTGTCCGTGTGTCTAGAATTTTCGGACCAAAATCAACGGAACATAGCCTTCCCAAAGTAACTAAATGGCCGTCCTGAATTTCAGGGGTGGGCCCCTGCCTTGTACTAATATCCAATCAAATGAGACCACATCATCACGTACGTAATTACGTTTCTTAGCTTATTTTTTTTCAATAAAGGGTGGATTTTATTAGCTCATAAAGAAGCATCAAGAAGATACAAACCAAAAGAGCACACAACTAGCCTCTGCATAGCTAAGATGCACACAGCCAACACAAACGCACACACACAAAAAACACAGCAGCAAATAGCAAAGTCATATAAGACCAAAGCTATACGTAGCCGAGGAAAAAAGAAAAACCCAAAGTGATCAGAGCCACGATCGACAAACTACAGTAAACACCATATCCGCACCAATTATCTAATGACACCACACAGACAACGAGGTTCTTCAACAGCAACGCCTTCAAGAAGAGAGCGACACTCAAGCGTCGCCGTTACCGGATTCAACCACCAAGGGCAGAATCTATGTTTTCACCTTGAAGAATCAGTCAGAGCATATCCGGACAATGCCTTCAACAAGGTAACGACGTAAAAAAAAATCGCCATTGCCAGACATAACCAGTTCGGTTCAGACCTAGGCTTTCACCCCGGACCTCGCGACCGGGTGCTCGAGTAGCACCACCATCGAAGTCATGCAAGTGTTGTCGCCGCCACTTTTCCACGATCCAAGCAGTTACATGCGATGTGACCGCCGCCACTGCACAACCATTCCTTTGCGTCAAGTGGTCGCTCATAATTTGCATCCGACTGCCGAAGTCAACCACTGGATCCTGAGATGGACCGAAGAATGACCATCGCTGTTGTGGAGACGTAGAAGGTCGCTGCAGCACAGTGTGCAGTCATCCTCACTCGGTCGACCGAATCTGAATCACCACCACCAAGCCGTGGATCATAGCGCCGCGGGTGGTCACCACCAGATCCATGGTTGCCGGCCACGAACCTTCATGGGATCGCGAGGTCTTGTAACCATGCCCGTGTAAGATGTAATCGTAGATGACAATGCATCCGTACGCGAGCCATGGCGCCAATTGTAGCAAGGAGTCACCGCACTTCAGGATCAAGTGCGCCGCCAAGAGCCCACAAGGGCCATCAGACGGCTCCATGCACGAAGATCTAAGAGATGCCTGGTGAGCCACCGTGCATCCATGTAAGCATGCATCATGTACCTTCGTACGTGCTTGATACATGCAAATGAGATGCCTTTCAGCCACGATCTGGAGTCCCTACACCGTCAGCCAGAGGAGGAGACACCGCACGAGAAGCTGCGAGCCTGCGACTTGAAGCCGCTGATCGACCACTTGATCCAGAGGGAAGACCCTGACAAGATCACAGGCTACCGTGCAGCTCATACCCCGGGCGACGCCGGCCCACCGCGCAGCACATCTGCCACATACGCATCCCTCTACACCGCCGCCCGCTGCACGTAGAATGAGTCCTCGCCGTCGCCGTCGGCCGCCGTTTCTTAGCTTAATTTACAAGTGTAGCAAAGCTCCTGCCCAACTATACAAAATGATTTATCTATAAAGTGAAGCCAGCAGTTTCAGAAGAACATGAAATGAATTTATTTATTTTATTACTAATAAAATGTGGTGGACAAAGGTACACGGTACAGTGCAAAAGGGAAGCACACGGCGGAGGCCGGATCACAATTGTCCACGAGCCGTACGTCCAGAGCACCGGCGGGCCATCAACTCTTCCATGAGCTGCCCTACATCATCGTAGGACGACCCGCCCTTCTCCACGGCGGCCCTCGCCTTGGCGCCGAGCTCCTCAGCCTTCTTCCACATCGTCTCCTTTTTCATCACTTTCCTGATGGATTCGGCGATCACCTCGCTGCCGATAAGTCGGTGGGTCTCCATCCATGTTGCGTAGTCCTCCGCACCGACGCCGACGCCCACCTCAAGCATCTCCACGACGAGCTTCTCGTTGTGAAACTGGTCGGCGTACCGCGGCCACGTCACCATCGGCACGCCGGCGCTCACAGCCTCGAGCGTGGAGTTCCACCCGCAGTGCGTCATGTAACCACCCACGGCGGGGTGGTTCAAGATGAGCACCTGCGGCGCCCAGCCCCGGACGATGTACCCGCGGTGCGCCATCGGGAACCCGTCTGGCATACACAGATCTGTTGATGCACTGCCATTGGCGATGACCCACAGGAAGTTTTTGCCCGAGAGGTCAAGGCCGCGGGCGAGCTCCCGCATCTGCTCCGGCGAGAAGATTGTCATAGTGCCGAAGGAGACGTACAACACTGAGCTGGCCGGCTTCTCGTCGAGCCACCGCAGGCACCCGATGGACTCCGGTGAGAGCGCGCCCGCAACGGCACCTCTTGACGTCACGTCCTTCCCGCTGCCGCTTGCGAGCGCAACCGGGCCGACAAGCCAAGCTCGGCGGTGGAGGGTGGCGCGGTAGTGCTCGGCGTAGGCCGGCTCCAGCTCGTGGAAGCTGTTGAAGAGCTCTCCGTAGCTCCGCCGGTCCGCGGCGTGGATTAGCTGGAACAATGCCCACTCATGTGGCCGCTTCACAGGGTCCATCATCTGCCCCCGCAGCTCCACCACCCGGTGCGGCAGCCCCGGCAGAGAGATAACGGTGGCTGGGTCGTCGGAGCACACCTCGAACGGGTTGCTGCGGAGCATGGCTTCGGTGCAGGAACGGGCGAACATGCTGGTGCCGAGGAACGTGATGCGTGGGATTCCATGCTCTGCGGCGTCATCCACGGACCAGTGGAAGAGGCCGTCGGAGACGACGGCGTCGATCTCGGCGTGGTGGCTGGACAGGAAGCGGCGGAAGGGCTCCTGGAGCAGCTCCGCCGTCCGAAGGAACCTGTCGTTGTAGTCCTTGGATGTTAGGCCAGTCCCGCTCTCGGCGCTGGGGGGAAGCCCGACGTCGGGGAAAGGAACGACGACAACATCCACTGACCCCAGGGAAGTGTTGGCACGGTCGACGATGGAGCGGATGGTCGAAGCTTGCAAGGGTGTGGTGAGGATGGTGCACCTAACGCCACGGGCGGCGAAGAGCGCGGCCATGTCGGCCATCGGGATGAGGTGGCCGGGGAGGAGGAACGGGAAGAAGAGCATGCGCAACGGGGGTTGCTCGTCACCCTCCGTTGGCGCCATGGATGCATCCATGCCCAGCCTACCCACAGCTTCCCAAGTTCTGATCTTGGTGTGATGAGTGATGACCGCCTTTAATCTCTGCTGCAGACAGCTGCTCCATGTGAGGTAGCTAGGTTGGTCGGTCAAAATTTATACATGCAATTAAGAGGACGTCGGTGGTTACTGTCATGCATTCAACTCAAATCAATCACGAGTCTTACAGGTTTGGGTCCCAACCTACCGAGAGCTTTCCGTCTCCAAAACAAGGCTCGAAGATTTTATCTGTAGTCAAATGGTGCAAAGTTTGGCTAAATTTGTACTCACTCCGTCCCATAATGTAAGACGTTTTTTGACACTACACTAGTGTGAAAAAGCGTCTTACATTATGGGACGGAGTACTATATAGGAAAACTAAACCAAATCACTATATCATTAGATGGATAAAATACAATGTATTTTCATATTATATACTGGTTCATAGTTTTGTTTAGCTGTGCTGCAAGGATTGCACATGCTTTGTGGACGTACCTCTCCTCTATATGAATCCTCGGTACAGCTCGGCATATAGACCACAGATTCAGCTTTACAATGTTTCCAAAGGATAAAACAGGGGCAGAAAAAACAAACCATGTGTTGGGCAAGGATGAAAATAGCAACTATTTAAAGAAATTAAGGTGCAGTGAAGAATACCCGTCACGGAAATGTGTTTTGGCTACAAACTTTTGTATAACAATAAGTCAACTGATATTTATGGGGGAAACAAACATTTGACATGTCGATACAAATGGCGATACATGACAAACTAGAACCACAGATACACTAGCTGCCCTGCTAGTTTGTACAATATATAATAGAGACTAAAATTCAAGACATGTTTTTAGTAGTATCAATCACTATGGAAAAGTGTGTATGAAGGGTAACTTCTCAGCTCAGTTATTAGAACCCTGCTGAAATTTGAACTTTTCCTTACATGGATTATATTTAATTTGTTGAAGAGCTTCCTGATATAGCTTGAAGCAATCTTGGCACTGGGGGCATATCAAGCTTGACTAGACCCTCGAGAACTTGAACCACATCGCCCATTGTAGGACGATCAAAGTCATGATCTTGAATGCACCAACATGCAGCTTTGCAAGCTCTTTCAACCTCCTCCACGTTGATGTCACCATATAATTGTTGATCGACCAAAGTCCTCACATCTCCCTCAAGAAGCTTAACTGCAGCTTGCACAGGAAAATGAACATCATGATCAATATTTCCTGTACATTACTGAAAAAGGCTTTCGCCCCGCTTTATAAATAAAGCAACCGCCACAGAGCATACATACCACACAGGTTCACACACACACACCCAAGTCTCACGAAAAAGTACCAAGGTTCTGCTGAGGGCACAGCTCAACAAGCCCAAAAAAGAGGCAAACAACAACAACACATCGCACCCGACACCAGGGGGCTAATCGGGCTCCGGCGGCGGCGGCGGCGGCGGCGGAGAGATGCGGACGGCCATCGATCGAAGGTCCGTGATGAAGGCGGAGATGGCGTCACGGTCCGAGGAGCGACTAAGCGGCCGCCAAAGCTGCAAGAAACCCGAGAATTTGTAGAGGGCGTCAGAAGGGCGACGAAGGGGAGCGCGCTGGATCACGAGTTTATTGCGAACGGTCCACAATGTCCATGCAAGGACCCCAACTTGCAGCCACCTAATGTGGCGAATGGACACGTGGGACAATTGGAGTTCAGCAAAGAGGTCCGGGAAGTTAGTGTGGCACCAACTCCCGCCGACCACCTCACGGAAGCAGCTCCAAAGGAATTGAGCGGAGATGCAGGAGAAGAAGATGTGGTTCGAGTCCTCCGGGACGCCACAGAGAGGGCAGATACCGGAGCCGGGGCCATTGCGCTTCCGGACCTCCACACCAGACGGAAGTCTACCACGGATCCATTGCCACATGAAGATGCGAATCTTCAGAGGAACCCGGGCGGTCCAGACCATCGATAAGGGGAGGGGTGCGGAGGAAGGGGCGATGGCCGCATAGAGCGACCGGGTGGTGAACAAGCCCGACGGCTCAAGTCTCCACCTGGTACAGTCCGGCCTATCATCCACAAGCGGCTCATGAGACGCAACGCAATCAAGCAACTCATGCCAGGCGGTGGATTCCGCCGGCCCAAACGGACGGCGGAAGGCAAGGCGCCCCAGATCAAGAAGGGCCCTATTGACGGAAATCATGTGGTCAACTGCAATAGAGAAGAGGGCAGGGAAGCGAGCCGCGAAGGGGGAGTCACCCGCCCAACGGTCATACCAGAATAGAGTCGAGAGGCCAGAACCCACCGAGATGGAGGTCCCAATGCGCAGCACCGGGAGAAGCTGAACAATGGACTGCCAGAACTGGGAGCCGCCCGATCGCTGGCAGAAAGCAAGGGGCTGACCCCGAAGGTATTTAGTCCGGATGATGTCCAGCCAGAGGCCACCCTGGCCCTGGGCGATGCGCCAGAGCCAACGGGAGAGGAGAGCGATGTTCATTCGCTTGGAGCACATGATACCCAGGCTACCCTGCTCCCGGGGCTTGCAGATGTCTGGCCAGCTGACCATGTGGTACTTCTACTTATCATGCTCACCAGCCCAGTAGAAGCGAGACTGGATCTTGGCAATCTCCTTATGAAGGGACTCATGGAGGCTATAGAAGCTCATAAGGAACAGCAGCAGGCTAGAGAGAGAAGAGTTGATAAGAATAGTGCGGGCCGCCTTAGAGAGCCATCTCCCCTGCCAGGGCTCGCACCGGGATTGGAGCTTAGAAATAGCAGGCCTCAAGTCCGCGGCAGAGAGGCGCGAGTCACTGATAGGGGTCCCCAAGTAGGAGGTGGGGAAAGAGCCCAGGCGGCAGTTCAGCCGGTTGGCGATAGCCTGAGACTCCAAGGGGGAATATCCCATTATCATGACGTCGCTCTTATCAAAGTTGATCTTGAGGCCCGACATTTGTTGGAAGCAGAGAAGGAGGAACTTGAGGTCGGCGATGTCCGTCTCCGAGCCTTCGACCATGATGATCGTGTCGTCAGCATACTGCAGGGTGGATATCCCGGAGCCCCCCGAGAGATGGGGGGTAATCCCACGAATGTGACCAGCAGCCTTGGCCTTATCAAGAATGGCGGCCAAGGCGTCAACCACCATATTGAAGAGGAACGGGGAGAAGGGATCGCCCTGGCGCACCCCACAGAGGGTAGGGAAGAGGGGACCAACCTCGCCGTTGATGTTAACCGCCGTGCGACCACAAGAGACCATTTGCATGACTCTGGTGATCCAGCGGTCATCAAAGCCCTTCCGAAGAAGGACCTCTCTGAGGAAGGTCCAGCTAACCGTGTCATAGGCTTTGTGAAAATCTATCTTCAGAAACACCGCCTTAAGGTGTTTGGCCCGGACCTCATGAAGGACCTCATGAAGGACCAAAACCCCGTCCAGGATATATCGCCCTCTAATGAAGGCCGACTGGTTAGGGTGGGTAATCCGATCCGCCAGCAGGGTCACCCTATTGGCGTACCCTTTGGCCAAGATCCGGAAGATCACGTTGATGACCGTGATCGGCCGGAATTGGCGGATGTCCGACGCCCCAGGGACCTTGGGGATGAGAGAGATGATCCCATAGTTGAGGCGACCGAGATCGATGGCACCCACAAAGAACTCCTCAAAGATGGCCATGACCTCGGGTTTAATGACGTTCCAAAAGGTCTGGAAGAAAAGAACGGGGAGACCATCAGGACCAGGGGCCGAGGAGGAATTCATACCCTTGATAGCCTCCCAGACCTCCTGCTCAGAGAAGG